TGTCAGAGGAGCTGAACCTCCCAGAAAGACAGGTACGATTAAAAACGAAAACAGTTTATTCAGATTTTTTTATATGCGCGTACATTGTAATGAAGCGGGAAAGTGTCAACTGATTTATCATCGACCAAAAATACGTTTTCGTCGTTTTTTATAACTTAAGTTACATGTTTATTTCTTAGTATTTTGGCAGTAATGAACGCAACAGACCGTTATCTTTTTTATGACCGTCATCATATTAGTAACCATTGCAATAACATTTCGTTACAGGTTAAAATGTGGTTCTACAACAGAAAACAACGGGAGACAAAGTCGGAGCAACCCTTGGTAGAGAAGACCCCAGGTGTGTTCGATTGTTCCACGAGTCTCTTTGACGCCGGGTGCCTGTTGGACCCCCTAGCTGCCCTGAGGACGAATCCTAGACAGCTAAGCATGGAGGACTGTGCGTTAGTAGTGGAGCACTTGCAAACACAGCTTAGTGCGATTATAAATCCTAAGCGCTGAAGACCCCTCTTCTGGATTCTGGGAATGCCAACAGTAAAATTCAATAAAACTAGCATATTTGTCCACAATGACATCGTCACAACGAAACAAGGACTGTTGAGTACGTTGTGACATATCATAAAAGATGAAAAAACAGAATTCGAAGTCATGGAGACAATTTGTATCTTACATTTTGCTCTTTACTGTACATAATTCAAAGTCTCAGGTGGAATATTACAACGTGCACAAAGAGGACATTCAGCCAGTACTGGTACATGTACGTCCCAAACAAGCAAACGGTATTCCACGGTATGACCAGGTATATTATGGTCACTCAGCTGCAGCTCGCATTAAGTCAATAACGTTGTGTATAAAGAATAATTAAAGCATTGACTTGTAGTCAGTACATGTGTGTACACGTATGTTAAACAGATACGATTTTGGTGCAACATTTTTGGTTTATCTGATATTGGATCAGGCATATAATGGTCACTCAAATAGACTTTTAAGTCATTAAATAGGATTATTATATGATTCAGAGCCAATATTATATAATCTGATGACTTGACTTGTAGCTAGTACATGTAAGCCAGTTAAACAGATAGAGTGTTGGTGTATTTGATAGTGGACTACGTATATCACGGCCACTCGACTTTCAGTCAGTAACGTTCTGTTATGTGTACAAAGCATATAGAGGGATCCTCATATAAAGTATCAAATACAGGGTCAACTCGACTTGTAGTCGACTAGTCAGTACATGTATGTAAAGATGTCTGTCAATTGCAAACAGATAAATTGTTGCTCTGCTGTTGTATTTGATGTTGGACCAGGTATAGTATGGTATGGTCATTCAACATGACTTTAAGTCAGTATCGTGATGTTCACAAAGCATATTGTTGCTCTAAGCTGATGTGTATAATATACATGCACATACTTTGTCGGTTATGTTAACATAGCTTGACATGTATTCGGGACGTCCGTCAAACATAGATAGTGTTGTGTTGTATTTGACTAATACCACCAACAATGACTGTTGCCTCGACTTTCAGCCAGTTTTTGTATTTCGAATTTGTTTGTTTTTGTACTTTGGTGGTTGTTTGTAGGGAAGTAGCATTGAGGGGTTTGAGAATATGATTGACTCTAGTGTAAAGACTTTTACAATGAGTGCGCATGTGACTTTTTTTATATATGACTACCAGCCTGTACTGAATTAATCTTCAATGCTACAGAGAGTAACACATGCATGGAGAATCTATGCAAAAATCTATAGAACTGTTTATGTGGCAATCATGATTGTGAACACGATTCCTATTTTTAAGTGACCAATCATACTCATAGGTTAAGGCAAGCAAAGACTGTACGTTGGTGGTACTTGGTGTATATTAATGTGAATTTTTCTATACTGTGTGTCATTGGAAATCTACTCAGTATAGGCTTCAAATTATGCTTGAAATCAAATGATAGGTAGCGTAACCTACAAATGATATTCTTCCAGTACAATATGTATACTTGCTTTCTCTGTACAGCTAAAGGCAGAAGTTTGTTTCAAAGGAATGGTCAGCTACGTCTGCCAATGCTGCTTTTCCCAATGATATAAATGTGATACTGCATTTGACGTTTGTGACTTTCTTTCTAAATCCTGGCCGTTTGAACTTTATCATAAACGAACAGGTTTACTAGGCCAACGTCGGCCAATGCTGCTTTTCCCCTAGGCGTAATTGCAAACATTGGGCAGCTCGGAAGGGGGCACTGACATTTCAGAATCGTCGCCTGCAGTAATATCTACCGCCACTAGATGACGCCCATAAGCCTTTTGTCTCGACCTTGTGAAGTAGGCCAACTACTATCTAGGCAAACACACAGAAGACACCGCACAAGAGGGTAAAAATAACTCCCGGCCTGTAAATTACTAGTAGTCAACGGCTACTTGGTAATGTAGTCAAAACAAATTTGTACAAACAACGGTAATTATAGGTTGCAATGATTGGTTAAATTCTTTCTGCATACCTGTCGTTAATAACAAACCCTTGCTGTCGACCACCCCTGGTGAGACTAGATGATGAATAGCTAATATGTTTTCAAGTTGCTCTGTAGCAAAACATTCCTCCCTTCCGACCGGTTTTCTGTGCATCATCGTCGGAACACAGATTTACGTCACATTTCTTCATGCACAGTTTGTCACTCTCTGTGAGAGGGACCTCCGTCCCTTTATGTCAGGTGTTGGTCCCTGCCAACCTCGCATCAACTCAAGGCGAGAGACGCCCCAGTCATTTGGGCAGGGGGGAGGGGGTTTGACCTTTTCATGACCTCTAACGCGTGCGCAAGGTGTCCAATCTAAATGCTAGGTTAGACACGGAACTTTAAACGTTACTTTGGAGGAGGGGGAGGACTGGAGCACACGTTATTCAATAGTAGTAAAGCAGATCTATACGTAACTAATCACTGATAATGAGGGATTCCCTCTAGCCTGGACTTCGAGATAATGGCGTTTCTTTTATCTCCCGAAATTGTAAGTTAATCTTGTAACACTGAAATACTCTTTCATCACTCGTCGTGTTTTTTGGGGGGAATTGTTACAAAATGCACCCTAGCTTGTCTTAAGGTGCGAGTCGATTCGAAAAAATGTAACAGACAAAATTCGTACATATTTGGAGCTCCTGTGCCTCAAAGGAAAGTCATAAGTCAAAGGAAAGTCTCTTGGACAGAAAAATATCCAAAAAATATCTGAAGTGAGTCACGACATTTTGCAACGCTTCCCCGTCGATTCCTAACACCTGTTGTTGGTTACAGAATGCGATGTAAACTTGTATGACTGGCAGTCTATGAAGCATACATTTGTCAAATAGAACACAACTGACATCTATGGCAACTGAGGATTTATAAACCTTACCTAAACAACCTTATTTTGACCATTTTCCTCGTTAATTCTCATTTCATTTTTTTATAAAACCATTTGCTCAAAGAAACAATATGGAAAACTCTGCCTATCCGTGAATTGTTAGTCAAAAGTAACTGTGCTAAATAATAGATGAAAACTTAGACGCGCCCCTTCTACATTCAGAAATAATTGATAAGTTTAAGAGAAGCGCGCATCCCTGCTAAAGGCTAGTAGATACTATAGTCCTCTATCTGTTTAGCTGTCTATATGTCTGTCTACTCGTACATCTGTCTCTGTCGCTCTCTCTCGATACTGTATACATGCTCCTGAATGCCCTGGCCCCAGTTTCAAAGACAAAGTTGAAAAAAAAGTTGAAGATATCTGTAGGTGTTCTACAAATGCAACTTGTGCCTACGGCACGGTCACATTTCTGTAGTCGAGAGGTTTACGACAACAAATTGGGGGCAATTTTGAGGCGTGACAGCCGGCTGCTATGAGTTGGAAAAAAATTCAGACGTCTTGCTGGCGGAAAAGATTTCCTAGGTCCTTGTCGGCGTTCGGTTCTTTGAAAATCCTACGAAAAGACGAACGTGGCTGCGTCTTTACTGTTAGTATGACATTCTCATCATCTCACGAAACAAACAGCACGTAACGTTCACCCCTCCAACTTTCCACTCGAGTAGCCCCCGCTGATTGACAGGACGTGATCAATGGGTCGTTTAAAGTCATTCCCCTCGGGACAAGTCAAACACCTTAGAATGGATAAGCAGGTGGGTATAATTAATAGCCCAATCAAGACTTCTAGGGGAAGAGTCGAACACAATAGATAAAGAATTCCAACAGGTACAATGGTGGGCTCATCACAAACTCGCCTCTATTCCTATTCAATGTAAAGAGAAATAGTATAGACCACCGAACAATGTCGATTTTTTTTTACATTTCTTATGTTCCTTTATGCCATTGTAACTTTGTTATTCTGTTCAACAAAACTGAAGATGTAAAATTGCAGAGGAGTAGTAGTCGTGAACTTTCAGTCGTGCGTAGCAGCTTTATCATCTATACTCTTATCATTTATATTATCTATATCTTATCTTATTTGTGACATTGTCTGTACGTTCACACGCGTGTAGAACTCCAGATACGTAAGTCGAACATCGGTCAGGTATGTCCGAAGGGGAGAATCTCACTGAGATAGCCAGGTAATATTCCCCAGGGGTATGGGAGGGGTGTCGTGTATTTACTCAGGTGTCTGGAGAACAAAATGGAGGTGACATGGGGTTAAATAGGTGGATGATTCATGTCCCCGTGTCCTAAATTGTATTCTTACAATGTGGGAACCCAGCTGGACATTAGTATGCTTTAACTCCACTCTCCTAACTTTGTGTGTAGTTTAACAGGTATTATCTCATGTGCGTTTATGTAAATTGCAGTTAAGTTCAGACGTTAACAATTTTTTTAAAAGTTTCAAGACACAGTCCGGTCAGAAAGTTTTATTTGCAAATTTTGTAGACTGATTCTGTCTTGAATTTTGGAGAATTTCTGTGTATGTCTGTACATATGTAAGAACTACTAAAGACTCATTGAATTTGCATGGAGCTAAAAGGTGTCATAAGATGATGGCCCATACATTCTGCCCAATCAGAAGTCGAGTCAAGACGCCATGACAGATGACAGGCAGCCATCTTTGTTCCAGTAACCAACCAGAATCCAGGGCTCGTTCCCGGGTCAGCTCTCGTTTCCAGTGTGGCTACCGGGTAACTAGTAGCAGGGCAGACATTGTTCGCGTCTTGGATTGTCATCGCAAGTAGTTGCTTTCAATTCGTTAATTTTCCAAGAGAAGCAGACTGTTGTTTCTGGAGATGGAATGATCACACGTCGGCCTTTGACAACTTTGGAGCAAGGCGGAGTGTAAAACGGATACTGGGAAGATGGCACATCTACTAATGCCTGGATACGAAGAAACGCGATAATCCACTATCATAGTGGATTTTTGTTGCCAGATTACTGCGGTGTTACACTTCAGCTTAGTAACTCTTACATTGTGTCTAAATTCTTTTCGACATCCACGGATTGTATATGGTTATACTTTTCTACAACCAAAAGGACTTTCCATAGTGCAGAGATGGACCAGAACTGATAGTTTTGTATTCCAAACTTGAGTACCACCTGGTATAAACCAGCCGAAACTGAACACGAAGCGATGATGCCTGTGCTAGTTCAACCAAAGCACCGGTTCTCTATCGAGTCGTTGGTGGCCAAAGACGACCGCCCTACCCCGAAACAGGTTCACCATATGTCCGCGGCCGGCCCGGCCTGCTGCCCCGCCGAGTCGCTACCAGGTGGCGGCGTCTCGGCCTTCTCCGTCAACCCGGCCTACCGATCTCCTCATCCTAACATCGTCCCCCAGCAGAACTGTCACCAGACAGACCCCATGTCATTCCACAGACTTCACGACATCCAGGTTACGGCGGCGGCGACGGGGTTCCCTCCTCCCGGTGTACCGTCGGTCCCGGTCCCGACCTCACACTACCTCGCCGGGTACGGAGGCGGGCTGCCCGTAGGCATGACTCCCGCCACGGCACCCCGGCACTCAGTCGTCCCGCCCGGCATCTTACCGCAGCATTCCATGTCTCCGATTCACCCTTGGGTCTTGCCTCACGGATTCTTACCTCAGCACAGACTACAAGGTACGTGTTCTCTCCACACCAGCTTGTTGGGACGGGCAAAAATTTCACCCCTTCCTTTCAAGAAATCTGAGCTTCATGACATTAACAAATATATGACATATTTAACGACGAAAATTTTACTGCCGCCCTGACAACTTTGAACTTGTCTTCTGAAATGAGACATAAACTTTAGTAGACGTATGGCTACAAACGTACAGAACCAAATGTTCAGAACAGTCGAAAAGATTGTCTTCTATATTATCTGCATTGTTATATGTTTTCTACTAGATTAGGAGAATAAGTAATAATTTGAACAGCAGGTCTACTAATCTTTGGAGGGATTGACATGTATGTAAAGGAAGAACTGGTGTTTTAGAACTAGGTTAAGTGGTCTTAATCCGATATTATGATATCACCGTTTCATAATTTCTTCATTCTTGACTGTATCTAATGTAGAAAGTGAGAAAGCCTGTGAAATCTTAGTTGAGTTTCTCTATATCATTGCTTTGGGGATATGCTTTACCCCAAGCTGTTGTACATTGTACTAGAGTAGTGAGTTCTGAGGGCTTGAAAAGGCCAGACCATACATGTATCTATTGGCAAAGCTAGGCCTATGACATGACGTTACAGTTCTACCACTCATCATAACAGTTATATCTTAGTAGACATTAAACAAGCATAGATAGAAACTGTTGAAAAAGGCATGTAAGAAAAAGGAAAAAAGAATATGCAGAAGGTTTTTACAACATATATAAAGTCAACAAGCAACTTCCCATCCCGGATGCCAACTGTAATTTCTGCTTCCTCTATGTTGTCTTCCCCTGCTTGCCATTGCACAGATATGAAACTGCACGCGTTGTCTCAGATCAGTCAAACCCTGCATGGCTGTGGTTTTGGTTTGGACCGGCTCAAGTTACCAAGCCGACATTACGATTGAGGCGGGCGGGGTAGAACGGCTCGCCGCCCGACTACAGCCGATGACTGGCCCCTAGCCTAGATTGTATGTGCCTGTTCTGCAAATTGTGAAAACAGTACAATATGCAAGAACCTTGTAGGGAGAAAGCAAACATAATTCTCTATGAAACGATTTCAGTATAGATATAAGTGAGATGCAAAGATTGTTAGATAGGATGATAAAACAGGGAGGGCACAAGTTGTTCCGTACAAGTGTTTAGAGTGATCATTACTGAGGAATTGCTAATAATGAGGATATTTAGAGTGGTCTCAGGTATCATGTGGTCTCAGCCGTGTGTGATGTCTTAAGGGAAACAGAAAGTGAGGTGTTTTTTCTTCAAGCCACTGTCAATGGGCGACAGAACTGATCATATTCTCTGTATGCTTTTAGCCCCAAGCTGTTCCAGAAATGTAATATTAATTGGAACTACGAAAGTCTTACATTCAATTCACTGTCAGTAGACCAACCTAGGTACAAAATTTAGTCATGTATCCGCACTAAGATGCGTCAGGCTATCGCCCATTAGCGCCTGTAAGAAGACATCTGAACACACGGTTACAGGGGGCCGGTCCTCGTCTGTACAGCCAGCCGAACAAATTGTTTCGACGAGGAATACAGGTGTATTGACAATTACTGCTTTGTGATGAGGCCCTCCTTTTCATTTTTCGAGCTGGTAGGAAAGCCAAACTGTCAGCGGTATCCGAGCTAGTGTGTAAACAATTATAAGTGGCTTGTAACACAAGTGTAAACGATCTTGACGATAAGTGTTGTGTTGACCTTATAGACGGGATAAAAAAGATTGTAACCGCGGGAATCTGACCCCTCACAGCAAGACCACAAGGCCCGAATCACTGAGCCCGAATAAACTTTCAGGGAGATAGTTTTCTTCTATCTAAAGTGTGAGCTATTTGATCATAACAAATCAGTTATACTACCAAATGATAAATCAACAAAACAGAGCTTAACCACAAATGATGTCGTAGTCTACAGTTCATTTTGATAAACATCTCTAATCTGTTCAAACCATTACCCTTGTAAGGCGGTTTTAAGTCGGTAAATCGCCTTAGAAAGCTTAAGAGTCCAATATGATAACATTAATCCTATTGTGTCAACATTATCAGTTTATATTGTGATTTAGCTGGCATGGAATGGAACAGTAATAGAAAAGAACAGATGTAAACTTCTGTATACAAGAAAAGAACTGTTGGCCTCTATGATGGTGAGAATTATTGGAGGGTCAGTCTTGTATGTTCACAAATGTTGCCTCTCAAATGAAATCCCTTCGTTTATTCGGCTACATATACTTTGCATCAAAATAAACTATATTCTTATAGTCGCGGAGATAACTTCTTCACACTACAATAGGATTAATAAGATACAGTACTAAACGTAAATGTTATCACTCAAGTTGGTACATCAAGGCAACTCAATTCACAAACGAAAAAAAAAACATATTTGAGTAGTAAAATACACATACATGTATATATACTTCAAACCGACCCTGCTATGGTGGATTTCTTCATCATAAAGCACTGTTTGTTTAGTTTACATACCGTTAACAATAAATTACATAGGCAAAATATACGATGTGATCAAATAACAGTTTGAAAACGGTTATAGTTACTCTTTTCTTCGTTATTTACGGCTACACTAGATTTCGAGTGACGATCGCCACACGTTCGAATTATTCGGTGAAAGATGCGTAACTAATGCTGTGTGTGGGTAACAATCAAATGTTTCAGAATGATTTGTTGTGGTTTTGCAATGTACAGAGCGAAGTGCGAGTATATAATTTAGCACTACATATACACTTCTGTATCGTACAATGTCTACTGGTCATTTATATATTTACAGCATAGCGCTGTAGTACCACTCTGTACTGGTACAGTGCCGCGAATATCATTTAGGTACAGGTCCAAAATACCGGAATATCAATGTACCAGTATTGCACCTGAATAGACTTACACTCAAGTATATAACGTCTTACTTAGGTTACGTTACAGAAACATGTTATTGCTGCCACAATGATGAGAATTTAGCACAGGGAAAAGATGAAGATTTTATTGTATTGGTGATAAAATCAGTACCGTTTAATTCGAGATCCTCTCCGCTCTCTACAAGATACCTGAAGTATAAGTAGACATTCTGTTCACTGTATATTCACGTTATTTTCTCATCACTTGACTGTTTATCTGTTTCTCCCCACAGTTCCAGAAGGTACGCCCGGGTTCATGTACCCGTTCCGTAAGCCTAAGCGGGTCCGCACCGCCTTCACTCCCACCCAGTTACTCCGCCTGGAGCACGCCTTCGAGAAGAACCACTACGTCGTCGGGCAGGAGAGAAAACAGCTGGCGCAACAACTCACACTCACAGAAACACAGGTAAGGAAAAAGGAAAGCAAAGTCATGGCTTTGTATATATTTGATGAAGTATACTGTAGCTGTATAAATATATGCTTTACATTTAATGAAAAACATCCCATAAACCACAAACATTAAATGCACATGAGTTGATTACATCAAGCAGATCTTTTGTTTGGATATATAATATAATATAATATGATATGGTAGACGACAATAATATAATACCATCTTCTGTATATGAATATGCCAACTTTTGCGTAATCAAAACATGATGGGACTGTTACATTATATAGCTAGCTGCTATCTCCACAGCTGCCTCATTCTATCAAAAATCCGATCAAATATTGGAACAAAGGAAAGTGTTCGTCGTGCTAAACAAAACCTTCACAACAAGAGACAAGTATTAATATCAAAAGATTTCTAAACTGCTAAACATCGAAGCATGACAGTACAAAGACAGATTTAAAATGATTCGTTTACACGATGGCAAAATAAGGATATACGTTGACAAACCCTAGCTACCACCAGGCCGTCCTATAGTGTGGATAGTAGGCCTAGGATTCGGCAAAAAATAGGGAGAAGAATTAGCCAGAGGAATGAGCCGTAAAAGGAAAACATTTCCACTCAGAAGGGCAAATGAACTAACGCTATGGTGGCCGAACTTCCCTGGCAAATTATTGTCCCTCAGTCCGCGTTGTTAGTCTGGTTGAGACCAGTCAAACCGCCCCATGACCCGGGCCGGTTTATCTAAGATTTTCCGTTAAATTATCGGAGGTTCAACAATGTGTTCCTCGCGACCTGCCCTACAGACATTCCTCCTCAGTTCATTTACTTCAGTCTTGGCGGTAAAGTTTTAGGAGGCAGCACTTCGAGATCTGCTTCGAATCATGAAATCATAAATGCAACTATTTAGACCTGGGGGTCCTCCGGAAAAAAAATTTAACAGCGGTGGCGAAAAGACGGGTTTTATAGGGACCACCGGGCGTGTACAAAAGCGCTGCGGACTGGGCTGGCTTCTGGGACGGATTTACACGAACGATAGAGAGGGTTGAAATGTAGTTTCCATCAGGCCTTATGGAGGTTAGAACTCAGCCAAGCCATAGGTCGATTGGCCTCGAGTGGGCTGCAGTAAGGGTAACATTTTCTCCTCAGAAGGCTTAAGGGCAAATGAACCTTACGGTGACCAAACTCCCAAGGCAAGTTATTCTCACTATTTGGTAAATTTTACTATTTTTCAGCCCACGTTGTTCTTATATATAGTGTAGTTGAGACTTCCCACAACCGCCCTATCGACTCTACTGTAAGCGTAGCTTGTATGTATGCTGTTTGACAGTACTAATGCCCCAGTAGACCAGTCTTTTCAGTTGCATTGTACTTGGAAACCGACCGCAATTGTCTCTTGTCAAACTCAACTACGCTGTGGTGGACATTGTACAATGTGGTTCCTAGTTGGCGATGGATACGCACGGGGATATTCCAATAAAAAAATGCTTGTTGTATTTTAGGAGTCTATAAAAGGTAAATATTTAACAGAAATGTACGGTCTGTAGATTTTATACACAGCAAATACATTCTTGAAATCCACATTTCATTACTTCTTAGCCTACCAATGTGCTATCAATAAACGGCTATCGGAGTATGTGTAAAGCGATGGGCTTCTTTTCCGCTTCCCGTTGAGACTTTAATAGACACTCGGTTGTTGGGGGCGGCAAAACGGTTAATTATAGGTTTAACGATAATCTACAACATACATAAGTACTTAACCCCCGAACGACACACACATGCGTTCAGTTTATGCACTGGGTTAAAATCAGAGGTGGTCCCCGCTGATATTTGGGGCTCGAGAACCATTCGCGAGAAAGTCGATAATCCTATTGCCTTGCCAAAGAATTTGAGCATTCTTGAAAAAAAAACTTGATAAAAAATGTACAACACGTTTAAAACTAAAAACATAACAGTAAAGATTGTTGATTTGAACTTCAATTTGTAATTCTTTCGATGTTTCCATTTGAACATAAGAACCACATGTACATCCTACAATATAACGTTTATTTAGAATGGGCGTATATTTAGAATGTTTTAGCCAATAACGCGTTGATAATTATTGGATACAAAACGTTGTATGTGTGAATTACTCCGGATACGCTAATTTGAAAGCGTACAAAACCAAATTTAGGCGAATAGATGCGTAGTATTTATAAAACAATACACAGGCCACACCTGTGTAAAACAAAACAGTTTTTGAGCATCTTAACAAGCTGTTAAGGGGGTACAATAAAGAGGGTAGATAATTAAGCGGAGGTGCTTTGTCGGAAATCACCTGCTTGCCATACACAATGAACAAAGTACATTGTGGTGCTACACAGTAATTCATCGGCTTACTTGTGCAAATCTTAAGAAGTAAATTGTTTGATGTTATCGTTCACATTATCATATAAAACGCTATTGTCTGTTAACGATTATCGTTTGTCCAGTCTCGAGATTAGAAGCTAATGCCCTGATGAAGTGTTAAGCGGTAGCAATATGATCAGATGTATTTTTGTTACATTGCTGAACACAATTTCTCGTCTTTGCCACATCGAATACTCTGAGGATGCGAATTGCCTGATGATTGTGTTTGACAGACAAACATGCGCTGTCCTGGAATAACGAATATGCCAGTGTGTTGTAGTCTTGACAGAATAGAAGGTGAATTATTTTTTTCGCCAGAAGAAAGAGAGAGAGAGATGCACTTTATATATAAACGGACAGTAAACTACGTTTCCCCACTCCACACACAAAGTAATACGGACAATGTTCCATCCCTATTATTAGACAAACCTTCCGTGACAAAATCTATCTGTTCCTACATATATGTACATTTCCAGCTTTAAAAAGAAGAGGGAAGAAGCCAAATAAAAAAAACACATGCTAGATTACAGTACACAGTACACACTCTAGCTTGTACATAATCGCCAGCGGTGTAAACATGTGCAATAAAATAATGTACCTCCGTGTAAAAATGCTGATGAACGAACGTCCACTTCAACAAGATAAGACAATTATGAAGGACAGGGTGGTAATTGTGTTGATCGTTATCAGGTGAGAGAGATAGAGATCTCTGTATTGTTGATTAAATAGGTGATTATTCCCGTAGGGTTCACACGTATACAACATGGCTTCATGACGATTAAATGGTTTGTCGCTCACGGGTTAAATGGGTGTGAATTTCTTTAGAAAAGTAGTATACCGTATATCACGTATCCGTAGTTTGTTTGAAAACAGCGACGTATATAACAATACAACGATAGTCCAAACAACTTTTCATTTGAAATGACGGCACACAGACGAAACAAATTGTTTCCCTATATGGTCAAAAACCACTTGGTCTGAATCTTCCTTTTTCCCTTCCTATTTTTTAGGTTAAAGTCTGGTTTCAGAACAGAAGGACAAAGTACAAACGAGACCAGCAGGAAGACGAAGGTAGGAAGTCTCCGCCCCGGCTGAAGGGCGCGCACCACGTCAACCGGTGGCGGGAAGCCACCAAAGAATTCGTGCAGTTTCAGTCGTCTGCGTCATCCCCTTCTGAGCCGGATTCTTCCATGCATGTCGCCGAGTTGAGGCCGTGTGAACTACAGACATGTTCAAACTCTTTGAAAGGAACAAGACGTGAAATATCCGAGGAGAAGCCTTGCTTTCTGACATGACTTTTTTTCTAAAGGCCACAAAGGAACATGTCGTCTGTGTACCCCCCTTCTCAGTCGGATTCTTCCATAACCTAGTTGAAGCGCGCGCAAAGTGTTAAGACGTTTTCAAACTACTGGACAATAGCAATCTGTAAAGCTGTGAAGGAGCCTTGGTTTTCGGCATGATACAATTTTTTTCTGAAGGTAGAAACGCATGGAAAGACGAAAGGAAGAACGTGTGAGGACGATTATGTGCAGAATTGTTGTCTATAAAAAATAGCGGTATGGACCGGAGTATAGAACATACATATGGACGTAGTAATTATGAATCAAGTTTGTTTCTTGGTCATGGTATGCTGTAAAAAGGGCTATTGAGATATTGTTCGCATGTCATACTGTCGACTAGGAGGACGACTACACAATTTATGTTGAGCGATATATATTTTTTTTAATCTCTATGTTTTGTTCGAGCTAGAAAAATTGTAAAATATTACGTTGACGTTGTTTTGTTATCGCCCGTTATTACTTTTATTCACGCACTGACAATCAAACACTGATGGCCTTCATTGGAGAAGCGATGACAATTTTGCCACCTTTCGTCCGTTGGGAAAAAAATTATGCGTTATCACTGTCTATCTTTCTACGTGCGTATTGTCTACCATGAATTATGTTACTGGTGGCATGTAAATGACAAATGTAAATACATTTATATTCAGCTCAAGCAATAGCGTTGAAAGTTGCAATACGTCATTGTCGTGATGTCTAGAATGTTCAGATGGTTGTGGTGTCAACAGTGATCGATCGATGGTTGAAAATGGACCAATGGGAAGCGTTTTTACAAATTAAATTATGGTTCATAACGTAAAAACAAACAAAATGGCGTCTGGTTGTCATTAATTTCTTAGCAATAAGCACTAAATATTAAGAACAACAGAACATACTAGTTACACCGTACTATATTTAATATTAATACAGGGCTGCTACAGAAGCTGAATTATTTATCATTTCTGACACATATGAATCTATATGCAAGAGCAGTAATCTTTGTCACACATTCTTGTCAGAATGTCCTTAGACTATAACGGATTTTATACCGGTGAAGGTCACTCCGAATGTCATTTCAGGCAAGCACGTCGCAATCAAAAGGCATAACAGGCATAATCGGTGTTGATAGGCGACAACTTGAAGAAAAATCATGTAATTTCCTAGTCTAGAAAACAGACACGCGCTGGAGGAAACACATGATCGTCATAAATCGTCATCTTTGAAATTTTGTGGCAAAGACGACACAAATAAAGATTCTAATCTAAACCTTTCTTTGTGTGAAACAGTTCAACTCCAAAACAATCTAATAACAAAGTTAAAACGACCATAAATGGTTAGACTGCCCAAAGCATGAATAAATGATATGACACGTATTTACGCTTACGAAATGCCATACTGATATATAGCTCTGGTGCACACGTGTGGTCAGATAAGTCCTACATCAAATGCAGGTGCAAAAAAGTTTTCAATTTGTTCTGTTTATGAAATCGCTATAATAAAAACAAAGGACGTGGAGTACCGTTGATTTTAAACACCTGGCGCACATGATGTATATCAAAACTTACTCCAGCGTTGAAATGGTGCAGCACGATAAGAAATCATTGTTTCTCTTAGATATTTTCCACCTGCAATTCTAAATCCTTGACAACAGATCCAGAATATGGAATGTGGATTGCGAACAAGACTGCCTATGAACTAGGTAGTTACAAGTACTTCATTTCTTTGTCCTTTGAAATTGAGTGTGTGTGTGTGTGTTTGTGTGTGTGTGTGTGTGTGTGTGTGTGTGTGTGTGTGTGTGTGTGTGTGTGTGTGTGTGTGTGTGTGTGTGTGTGTGTGTGTGTGTGTGTGTGTGTGTTGTTTTTCTTTATCATTCTATATCAGTCTATATCATTTCATGAGTATTCACTTACCGTATCCCCCTGCCGTGTGTACCTGACATTAGTGTCATCGTCCGTCACTCAAGCGCGCTAATTAAAATTCCTTCTCCCCGGGGAGACTGTACGAGTCACGAGTTCACAGCCAGACCATTAACAGCGGGCGGTTTGTCCATCGCCAGTCGCACATGGGTAAATATGTGATTGTTCACGACAGTGAAATTACGTATTACGGCGAATTTAATGGTTTTACAGCATGTGTGGCACGTATTACGACACCTGACCTCTTGTTGTTCTTCAATTGACTCCCAGACTTGCAGTCTTGCACCGTTGTAAATTCTCTGCTCCGCCTACCTGTCCCATTACAAATGTTTTGTACATATTTGAAATTTTGATACACATTCTTTAACTAGCAAGGTCATGTTCTGTCATGTTTATGCTACTGATGAAAAATATGTGTCGACCCACAGATTCAAGATGGCGGCTGTTTCATGAAATTGTTCCATTGACGAAGAAAGCCATAGAGAAGTAGACTTTTGATTTATTTCTGTGGACCGTCTCAAGTCACAATACAGTCAAACTGCAGTCGTGTTCACCTCTACATGAGAACCACCTGGCCACTGTAACAACATTTAGTGCTTGCGGCGCCCCTTAGAGTACTTTTCCCGGACCACCTGTCAACTGTGACATTTTTTCAAGTCCCTTTAGCGGCCTTTTAAATACTTTTTTAGCAGACAGATTTGATTTTTCATGATCAGGTTGATTCACTAAGCAGAACAAGGCCAGACTATGACACCCTGAGCTTTCTACATTGATTAAAAAGTTGATTTTGACATCCAACGACTTCTTGTGATCTAATGAAAAACTTCTCTACATCATCCGCCACTTTTAATCCCGCCACATCAATTTACGGTCCGGTACAATTGCCATCACGGGTGTACAGACAAGTAGAACCGTTTAACCCCAGTCGATGGGAGTTAAATCGTCCCCTTGAGTCTACAAGGTCGCGTCCGGAGGACCCCGAGAACACCGCGTGTCCACGTGACGACACGGCGAGGCGAGACCGATACCTCCACTGGCATCTCCCGGCCGTCTGGCCATGTGTTCCCAAGGATACAAGGTGGGCCGGGTCACCGTTAACAAGGGGACTCTGGGAATCGATTTGTTACGCTTTGAAATGTAAAGATGTGCTTGATGATAAGGACTTTTTAAACGCGTTCTTGCACAGTAAATTATCGCTATGCGCATAATCTGTTAAGAAATGAGAATTGATTCATATCATCCATTGATTCATTGATACTTTAAATCAGTTCAGGTGAGAATATAAGATGATGCATTGTACATTAGTATATCACAGCAATGTTTACTGAAGAGCGACCTGTTTAATTGGCATTATTATCAATCTGTTAGAAATATTAGAATTGATTCCTATCCTAGATATTTTGCTACCTGTACAGAATATCCAATGCCAAAGTCCCATGTAAGAATATCAGAAGCTGGTGTCTTTTATAAGAATCAGTGTTTACTGAAAAGTGACCCGTTTAAACAGGTATCATTATCCAACGTCTACCAGTGAAGTGTAGAGTAATGTTTGGGAACAGCTGAACGGCCCCGGGCTGCTGTGGCCAGTCATGTCACTGCAGTTCTTCTGTGATTGACATCTCCAAGTTGAAGCATGTGAACGCCCGCTGAGTGATCCACAGAAGCCATGTAAACAATCACAGACCATCACACGGTCCAGAGGGCGAGCAACAGGGCACGTCTTCGGTCGGCAGGCTAGACTTGCCCTTCAGAGGGAACTCCCACTGAGAGTACGGTATCTCCAGGGCTCTCCTATAGCTAGCACAGGCAGCCTCTGCTCAACTGAGAGGTTGCTGAAAAAATAGTAAGAAATGCTCAATAATGAATAAAGGAAATACCTTTACTGTACCTTTATGCTCTAACAAGCTAAATGCTGATCATTGTGCGAAAGCAGTTTTAGGTGAATAATGTCAGTGATATACGAGTGTGTTACATACTACATCCACAATAGCTAATGGCATAGTAGTATGTACAGGTTCTACTTCTTGCTGGCAGCTCTCAGTGTAAGACCACAATGAACATCGTTTACTTGTTTGCATAAAAATGTGGATTTTCTTTGCAATGTAAAAATCGTATTTCCCCAATGGTGATTTACCAAAGGATTAAGTCGGGCACGGAGTTACACATTGGAAACCCAAGAATCTGTCAGAAAATTGTTGAGTCTACATATTAAGCAATATGGCAAGTGTTCTCTATGGTGCATGTGTTTAGGGATCGGCTTGTGTTCGCAGATCACCGAGATCACCCGCAGATCACCCGTCAAATGTGATAGGGTAGATTTCCATGCGCGACTTTCTGTCGATTTTGATATATAAATGACCTTCTAGCGCTCGAGCTCGACAGATTCACCGTGCCTCTGGTGATAACTTCTTAAGTGCATGATTCATCTGTCATCAGACTAACAAGGCGTGGAAGTGCCCACAGCCGTACACAAACACCCGCAGTAGTTATAATACAGCACAGGTGCTAATGTTACCGATACCACAGGGCCGCTTCCCTGGCTGTCTATCTATCTTTCTCACGTTTACACCAAATAAGATTTGATGGACATTCTCCTCAAATTTGTTCAGGATTTCATTCCATTGCATGTACGTACTGTAACGTTACATAATTTTAAATCACTGAGTATGATTACAAACTGCTATGATTGACATAAATCTGTGGGCGCAAACCAATGAGATTTTCCAAGCTCCTTGCGGTAACATAGTACGTGATCATTAATTTGCAAACGATTGTATTTCATGTTGTAATATAACACAATCGCTTCTCGTAATTACATGAAATAAAAATATATATACAGTCAAAGCTTGGCCAAAATGACTCAATGTCTATTGTGGATCGGAAGATCAACGTGAAACGTTCGTTTTAGATCATAAACGCGCAAAACGACGAGTTTGTGGCATGGATTAGCCACAGTTTGACCCTGGTGAAGCGGATACTCCTTCTATCCTTTCTCGGTTGACAGACGATGTACGACCTGCGGTGTAGCGGTGCGTTGTGTGAAAAGTGGGCTGTCTGTTTGTCGTACCGGACATCGTCAGATGAAAGACACGAGAAAGACTCCAAACTATTCCTTCATTGTGAAAAAGCCTTGATGGCAGAGCAAATGAAATTTGACGTTACAAGTGACCGGGTAGATTTCTTCTTGACTTGAACAGGGACAACTTAGTACACACAGCTGAACGTTTTCAATAGACAAAGTATCTAGACTTCTTGGTTTCGGGTACATGTAGGTCAAAGCTGTTTGTTGCAACAGTTGTACCGTACCACAGGTTACATGTAACGTTATGTTTGTTAACTTTAAAAAAAGAGGTCAGTTCACACGGTCTGCTGGCTGTGGCAACATCCGCCCTGTCGACTCAGAACGTCGGTCACCATGCGCCACTTCCAATTTCAACTCATTTTTTCTTCATTTCATCTGAAGAATATAGTAGACCCTAAGATTGGTGTCTAAGAAAGCAGGGCTATATCTTATTTAGCTTCTTCCTTTCTTTTTTATAATTTTCCTTTTCCTTCTTGAATGAATTTGTTTGCCTTTCTATGGGGTAGGATATTTAATAGATACAACTGTCTCTCAGTCACTGACGAAAGCTAGTGCTGAAACGTCTGACGGTCTCTGACCGTTTCCAAAATCATATCCAGTTGCTTGAGTAACTGCTTTTTGGGGGATATAACTCTCTGTCTCTCTTATTTTTCTCTGTCTCTCTGTCTCTTTCTCTGTCTCTCTGAGCAGCTAGCTACGACAAAAACTTCACAGGTACTGTATGTATGTCAGATGTCGAACAACCCCGTACCGTTGATTGCTCCCTCTCCAGCCCTGTCCAGCTGCCCAATTTGAGGTAGGTATAAGCTGCAGTGTTTCCCATCCTATCCTGTTACCTTCCGTAATGTAGCGGACACATGGTTAACACGTTCCACCTGGCGGGTACAGATAACATCATGCCCAGCTGCACCTCTGGGCGGCCCGACAACGACAGAAGGGTAGAGCCGTTTAAATCCGCTGTTTTGGTGCGGGGGAGTCGGGTGTTGGACTGTGCGATATCAGGGCTGTCTCCAGTACCCGAAAATTTCACCTTGTGCGTCTGAGCTTCATGACACGAAAAATTATTTTCATAAGCTTAAGGCAGATTTAACAATAACTTTTTACTCGATGAAAACTGCTCTTTTGGAAACGAAAAAAACACAACATGATACCATTATGTGTAGTTATGGGGGCGAGTTTGCTAACTTAGATATGATACCACCGATTTGTTTAGATTGTTATACCATACTGCCCAAACTGCCGTAATACTTTGAACCTTCTTTAGTAAGTTAATACTATGTTGTCATTTTAAGGTGCCTTGAGGTATTATGTAGTAATTTCTTTCTTTCGATATTTTGTACCATCTTTCCTCGCCACAAACTAATTTAGATAACCCTCCAACACCGGGAGGCTTTCGTTACTGATAAAAGTCCTCCACACTTTAGTGGTATTACCCGTGACCTCGGGCATGCGGACAGACAGCATTAAAAGTCTCCCAACACTTGAACCGTTTATCGGTGAGGGTGGACTATCGCTCGCCTGGTTTGTACTAGTGTTTAGGTAAAATGGACCTCGATAAGATAAAATAAAACTGAAATTGTATATCCACATAATCTACAATCAGATCTTTCGGCAGCAAACATAGTATTCAACAGGCAAGGCAGTATATAATAATTATTCAATTGGAACTAGATCTACTGACTGCCAATAAAGTGTTGAAAATGTGTCAAAAGTGATGCCCTGAGTTCGAAATTTGCGATCGTGCAACGCGATCGTACAATGAATGTGACCATGCCCTAAGAGACCTAAAAACGACGCTCTACAAGTCATAACAAATTTTCACAGAATAAGCGACCAACGTGAAAAACGTAGCAGAACTCAACTAAAACATTTAATTTTACTTACCAGAAATGAAGCGACCCTACATGATTAATCTCGCACCAAATTTGCCTGGGGCGTGACAAAAGACTTCTGACACCTTCCCTGGCACATTTGTCATGCCCACTAGTTATGTATAATGATGAATGCGCCCCTTCTGTCATGCATCACTTGTTACAGATTAACTTTGTAACATTCCGCAGCAATGTAGTCATGTTTTCAACTTATGGTATTTTAAAATACTGAGGTCGTGATATAAAAAGTGGCCATCTTAGGGAGGTCCGTGTGTTACATTTTAGAATCGCCAGAACAACACGAACGTATTAGAAGAAATACTTAGTACATAAATTCATTTCTCAGGACGATTTTATTCATGAAGTGTGAAATATAACTCAATTCAGTATCAATTCAACTACATTTGTACTTTATGTCCCTAGTATTCACATTTTTGTCCAGGTAAGATTGTTTCACTCTTGACAAGACAGTGACAGATGTAGCAAGAAACTCGCCTCGACAACAGAGTGTGTTTAGGCGCACCAGGTGTTCAGCCGGAGGGTATCTACAGGTAACTGACAGGTAAAACAAAGGCCCGGCACCTTACGGCAAACTCCCATCACAGGAACAACAGGTGGCCGATTAGAACAATGTCTCAACTGGTGTGGCACTCAAAACAGTCTCTTTATAAAGGGTTGTTTACTAGTGTACACTGATCTGAACTCTTACAAAATGTTTTATTTTCAGAGAGTCTATAAGAAAAGGTGGCCAAAATATTTCTCTCACCTAGAATAAGAGACGGCTTATCTGAAATGTGATCACGGCATGGAGGATGATTTACACAACAGTTAAGCAGTCGTTATGTAGAAAACAATTATTCGCGACCTTTGGCGAGCATATATTTCGCGCTCTGCCAATCAGAAACATCGCACGGCGCGGTCACATTCATCGTAGGTCGTCGTGCAAAGTGGTCCCGTACAATTTTTAGACTGGCTGTGACTGAACCAACCACCAATGGGAATCTGGGAAATTTGTACGACATCTGTACGACTAAGTCAAGAATGTACTAGTACTCAATCTGCTTCAACGGTGGGACGAATGTGAGCAGGCCATTTGACATAAGGAAGACCAGGGATGTATAAACATTCATTCAGTCCGTGTCCAAAACATTCCTTCATGAAGGGCCCAGCACATGGAAAAATACCGATTATAACAAGAAATCTGAGATTTCAAACTTCCAGGAGGTATTATTAGAGAAGAGCCATGTCGTACTTTCAACGGGCCTAGGACAGAAACTTTGCAGGCTGAGAGCTTGCTACACGTTTCCCCATTGGCACCTTGAACAACGCAAGTCAATAACACCAGCATTGCAGTCAGTCTGGCATGAAAACGCTCTATGGCCCCATCACACGTCTGGCCTTGTTCGAGTTAAACTCAAACCGCGTAAGAGAGACCAGGTCGTCCGGTTTCCCCAATCGGGCCGTTTTGTCTGACCACACCGGGATGGACTTCAACTCCCAGCTGCAGTAGCTCAGCAGAACCGCTAGGGTCGCTTTCATCAAGAAGAAAGCGATGCCCTGTCCAGGACATTGGTGGCTGTCCAAGTCAGGAGGCTCCGTAAGACTGAAAAGGGCAAAAAGACATTTGCGATCAAAATAAATGCCTGTCAGAATACACTGTTATGTTCTGAACTCCTGAAGGCGTTGACAAGTTTATTTATGGGCCTTACAAAATTACCGTGACATGGTCACATATTTGTTGATTGATTCAATGATTCATTGATAAACCAGAGACATAACATTTACCAACACAGATGAACTCTTAAGACAATTCCAGTTTTCGCCACACCCTACCAACTCACCAAGTATGAAACCAATGCATCCAGCCGTTCTTGAGTTATCTTGTTGACTAACAGACAAACGCAACTAAAATTACTAGTAATGTCATGTCATGGAGGTAATAAAAGATTTTCTCACCTTCCATGTGGAAAGACAAGATGTTTCCTCTTGTCCCCACCCCCTTCTTCATCCAGAAAGCGATTACACCGGAAAAGTCCTGGCCGGAGGAACACGGACACGTCACGCTGCGCCCAGAAGCAACTACCGAGCAGCTGCTCTCCCTTGCGGACCTGCACACAACAACACTGAGTCAGCGCATCTACCCCAGAAGTAAGCATGATTTTTCAACGATAACAAACAACTTTTTGGTCGGGCAGTACATCTGTGCTCTATGAACAAAAGAATCATTACTCCGTGAAGGAGGTCAGGACCTCCGGACGGAGTGTTGTAATCGGCTGATTTTTCATGTTCGCAGTCAAAACACTGGGTTCTCTTTGTGTAATCGGCACGCAATTTTATACGCCGTCTGCGGGCATGCCCGTGTTGATGCACGAATGTGTATTTTTGCCGTTGCTGCTTTCGCGGTCAATGTAATATCGCAGACGCACCCCTACAATTACAAGGCGAATTGGAATGGTCCAGAAAAACGCGTTGTTTGGAATAGCAGTGGGGTTCAAAAAAGTTCATGCAGATACGGGGTGGTTTTTATAAGTGGTTCCAGATGTTTTTGCCCATGGTTAAGAGATGCCAAGTTTTTTGGAAGATGTTCGCAGCCAAAACGCATTCTTCCGTACGTCGCATTTCTGTGTAATTTCGCATGTGGTGTTGCATTATGTCCGGGATGATGCACGTCTTTTTATTTTTACCGTAGCTGTTTTGATATTGGAGTAAATGCTTATTTTCGAAACATCCCCATTTCTTTGAAATGGTTTCGTCCGTTTATGCAACTGTTACTGCGCTAATGACGACCAGTCGCGCTGTCCTGATACACCGCGAATGTGCGAGTGTTCCCTGTAGACAGTCCCGGGAGTCATTTTTTTCGCACATTCCAGGAGCCAAACCAAAATACGTTCATGAACCGAGTCCAAAAAACCGAAACGTGAAAATCGGATGATCGGACCTGATGTACATTTCTCTTTCTATAGATTGTACACACAATACACACATCTTTAGATAATCTGGCCATGGCAGGTTAAAAAAAAGTAACCCTGAATCATACTAGATTAGCGTAAATGCATGTTAATGCGTTCAAAACAAGAAAAAAATTGTTTCCGGGTATTAATCTCTTGAACCACGGCGCTGAATATTGACGCAAAAATATTTCGGGCATCGCGCGCCCTTCCCGCGTCACGTGTAGGCATCTCGCATCTCTGATTGGTTGTTGCGTCTTAAGATGACTGAGCCGACGCGCGTTTAAACAATTTTTCTTTGTTCGATTTATCACACTTCACAGAGAATTGTCGCCAATGGCTACTTCTTTTTGTTGCAATATATAATACTTCACGGAGAATTGTCGCCTATGGCTTCTTGTTTCGGTTTTGCAATTTAAAAAAATTCAATACCGAACATATTTTTACACATGCAATAAGCCATGGCAATAAATCTTATTGTCCTTATTGCCTGTAAGTGGCGCAGTGCTTGAAAGGCGCACTAAATGTTGCGAAATTAAACTTGACTGACACCTGTAAAACACTTAGACTGAGCCTGACCCGGCTTAACTCTACTTGAACAGCAGTACTAATTAACTTATAAACTACATGTACCTACCTCAACCTTTTCTTTTCTCGTCGAAATCACGAAGTCCTGTTTTGCCACTCCGAAAAAGTCGAAGACAGGTGGGTGTAGGCGCAAAACCTCTAGTAGAAAACTTTCTAGAAGCTTCATGTCGTCGAGACTTTCTTCCGTGATGCCACCGTGTTTCTTAAGAACTTCTAGCGTCGCTCGAAGGAGGTTGTTTTCTCGGCTTCCGTGACACTCCTTGTATTCAAACGAGCGATGAAGGTGACAATGACGCTCGACGATGCCGCCACTGCGTTGAAAATGACAGCAAAAATGACACTGACGATGCCGTCTTCTTCTTCCTCGATGCCGTGGGCGTGACACAGTCCGATCAACTCTTGGTATTTTGGTGATTCCTGGATGGTTTTCAGAAGAACTGGGAGGGCTGCCGAGGCGAGTGTGTGCTGCTTTGCTCTAGCTATAGAGGGTATCGGTATCCTCGTCCTGATCTTCATCAGTCCTTGTAACCAATTCAGGGCCAGGCGGCCGTCCACTTTACTCCCAAATACCGACTCTGTCATCACATCACTGACCAAAAAGAACACTCTGTCTTCAAAGTCCGTGACCACTCTGGCTCGTGACCACTCTTCGAAGTGCGACAGGATGTGTGCATTGAGAACGGACGGAAGCGTCTCCCGAGATCGCTGCAAGGCGTCGATCAAGAACGCTTTCTTCCGACGATGTTCTTCGCCGTTGACGAACATGGACGGGCAGTATCCATGGGTTAGCTCTTCGCGTACGCCGACGTATCCTAAATAGTACCTCTCCTTGTCCACTAAATCCGTGTTAAAAGATATACTGGATGGTCTCTTGGTTCAGAAGCGCCACGACGGGAACTCCGACGTTTGTACGGACGACAGCAGGGTTTTCCAGGTGGTGCTTCAGTCTGTGGGGTCCCTTCTTGACTTGCTGTATGAGACCCTTCGTGTTGCTCGCTCCTGCACCCATGTTCTACAATGTATTTCTTGATACACCAAACAGAAGGTACAGAAACGTCTTCCTGACACTCGTGAACACCGCAATGTAGTCTGTCCCAGTGGACAGTCCCAGTGGACAGACTACAAATTAGATTGTTTTTGTTTTGTTTTGTCTATCATCATGTAGTACTCCACTATTGTAAAGGGTGTTTGGGTTACTTTATGTTTGAAAAGGGGAAACGCCACCATGTGCCAAAGTATTTTAACGTTTGTTGCTCTTAGATTCAGAATAACGCAATTTTCCTGTTTACTTTGTGAAACTTTCCACCCTCCAGGGACACTTAGGTGTCGCCCATAGAAATTGTCTGCAGCATGTTTCACGCACTCAGTCAGACTAAAGGAAGCCGCATTCTACCATTTCTATATTGTTGATAACGCCTTCCTTCACCACGGCTACTAATCTCAATCTCCGAGCAGAATGAATTGCTAGGGCCTTAATTTGTCGTCATATTTTGAGACCTTTTCTTCAAGGGTGAGCG